AGTGAACATCTGCTGTAGATGGCGGAGTTCGGCCACTTTGTCGGCTCTTTCGAAGGAGGAAGCTGGACAGCAGTGTCGCCTGTCCGTCACAAGGGTTTCAGCGTTGCGAAGTAGCGAATGGCTATTTGCCCCTCTGGACTCCTTGATTCCCCTTCCATCCTCTCTCACTCTCTCTCTTTCTCTGCTATCTAAATCAACAGACACTCCTGTGTTCCGTATCTCCACCTACCCGCAAATGTATCCTCTCCCCTTCCTTTTTCTTTTTTTTGGTAGAGTGTTTCTGACTTTCATGGACGATCGGCAGCGCGCTTTCTACCTCAACAGCATCTGTTGTAGTTTATAACGCTTCTACTGTTAGCCACTGCATGTAGTTTTCTTACAAGTGCACACAACAAGCTGATTAATTCTCTCTATCTCCCCTCTTCCTCCTGCGCGCTACGTATGGTTAATGAAGAACTGGCCTATTCTACTTAGTCAGAAAATGGCTAAGGGCCAATTGTGTTGTTGACCTCAGATCGGACCGGAACTTATTCATGACCTCAAATCCATTTGGGACGTTCTCTCTCTACATCCCCGTTTTTTGTTGGGTTTGTCTGTTACAGTTCTCTTGTTCTAATTTAAGCCTACCCTCTCCATCTGTCTGCGATGATGTTGTTTTGGCTAGTGGTCAGTGTTATATTGTAGTTTGAAGTGTCCGACCAATGCTTCCCCAACCCCTCATGTGTGTCGGCAGTACGGTGCCGTATTTATCGTGGTTTGCAGTAAACCCTCGTCGCGGTGGGAATTTGGCCTGTTCGTGAACGTAGAACAGGCGGGAAAGTTTCGAGAGTTGAGTCGTGTTAGCCGTTGAAGTAGCGTAGCAAGACACTGGTACAGATGCCGTAGCCAATCTCACTTGGGAACCCTTTGGGGGAGGTGACTGAATTTAAACTGACTGCGGTCGAAGAAGCCCCTCGGTGGTTATTTTTGCCTCTGATTGGCTAACTGCTATGCAGAATGTAACACAAATAGAAACTGGTTCTCGAGATGCATAAGTGAGGAGGGAGACTGACCGTATACTGGAACCGTTTCCCTGAGCTTTCAGTCTCGTGGAGAATTTCATCCTCAGAGATGACAGGAGCAACAGAACAACTGGCAGTTATAGGCTGGGTCAGTAACCAGTCAGCGGCGAATGCTGTGAGTCTGAAGATGACTGCCGGGCGGGTCTGTATACCAGCACCAAATAAGCGTATTGATTAACTGTGTTCTCATCAACTGCCCAGGTTTCAATCAGCTCTCGATTTTTCTTCTTTCTGGTATGACAATTTATCTTGGTGGCTGCGGATTTAAACTCATGACCCTTTTCGGCAGTGCAGACAGTCAATTGTTATAGTTCATCACCCCGCCGCACAGACAGCTTATATTTGTGTATGCACAATCCGAGCATGCGTTCAGTCTGACCTGTGTAACTGCGAGGACATTTTAGACAATAACTATGACGCATCACGTCGGACTGCTCTTTCGTAGTCGCCAAGCTAATTGTCCGTGCTTGAAGCAAGACAAGCCGGAGGTTGATTGAAGCCTAGACCTTGAATGAGAATTCAATTAGTTGATGTACTGCTCCGAACTTGGCGCAAAGAGCCCCGCGCGGTCACCTCCAAACCCGCAACCCTAGTCGTCGCTTGATTACTATAACGATTACCTATTAGGTAACTTTTTAGATCGACAATGGGCTCCTGTAGAAGTTCGGGAGATCCGCAAAGTAAATGATTCTGATGTTCTATCAGCGTTGTATGCTTTTGATTCAGTTTTCTCTCTCTGGACTACTTACCTCGCAGCTGTAATTGGTCGGTGACTGATAATCACAGAACACAGACAAATAGTTTATTTAATTTGAAAATGTATGCTCATTTATGCCGTTAGATCCTGGCTCACTTTTTCACGTTTTTCTGGCTTTTCCTCTTCCTCCAGGCGCTGACCGTCGTTGCATCTTCTGCAAACGTATTGTCCCGCACGATGAGTACGACCTGCACTATGTCATGTGTCTCACGCGTCCGCGGGTCACCTACAATGGTAAGTTTTCCAACCCTAACGCTAATCTTAAACATAAATTTGATGAATTTATTGTTACCCGACATTTGGGCTTCCTGTCTGCTATCGAAATCGAATGACACCTACCTATGGCACAATTTTTCTCCTTCCCTGCTGGAGATAGTTGGTTAGTAGTCCTTGTTGAATCAGGAGTCTCCACCGGAGTCCAAACTGGGTGCAGTTGGGAGCCGGAGAAAAGCCGCGACCTCAGCCGGCTTAAGCCAAAGGTCCACAGGACTGAGTTGGATGTCAGGCTGGGAGCTGCAGGCGAAGGAGCATGGAGTGGCCACTGCGTAGCTGCGCCAGGGTACACCGAGTGCCCCTCGGGAGTTGTCGTTCTGTGGCCGCAATCGAAGGTGGATAGCCACCGGGG